ACAGCTCCATCACAAAGAATTCAAGGCTCCCTGTTCTACCTGTATTACTGCCTCTTTAAGATGCTCTGTTGGGCCCATTCAGCTGAAGGAGACACCAAAGATGGAGGGGATTAAGAAGTGTGTGAAAGTAAATCAATTTTAGTTATGCATGAGACCAAGGAGTTGGGTAAATTACTTAACACACACACACACACACACACACACACACACACACACACAGTGCCCACAGGTGATGGACTGGATAATACAAAACTAAAACTTTCTGGATCCCACTCTTTTATGGAATAAATGCTAATGTCAAGGTCTCTGTTGGTGCCCTAGAACTATGAGGATTTTCAGAGGTATCACCATTCATTTCCAATGGGATGGTAATTGCACCAAAATACAAAACTGTATAAATTGATGGATAAAAACATATCCAGAGACAGAGAAACATCAATCAGACTGTCAGACCTCAGAGAAAAGGTAGGGGCAGATGGGGGTAAGGGAGAGAGAGCAACCAAAGGACTTGTGTGCATCCACTAGCCTAACAAGTGGACACAGACACCAGGGGGGTGAAGTCATGAGTGGGGGAATGGGAGGCATTGGGGGGATAAGGAAGCATATGTAATACCTTAATCAATAAAGAATTTTTAAAAAACAGAACATTCTTATCCTAATGACAAGATAAAGAAAAAACATCTGTAATAAAATCATCTATAAACCTGCATTTATTAACAAATTCATTTCCTAATAAAACACCACCTGCAAGCAACCGCCAGTTTTCACTAGTTATATAAAAATATATTTTAGCCAAAACCAGTTTGGCTCAGTGGATAGAGCGTCGGTCCGTAGACTGAAAGGTCCCAGGTTCGATTCTGGTCAAGGGCATGTACATTGGTTGCGGGTACATCCCCAGCAAGGGGTGTGCAGGAGGCAGCTGGTCGATGTTTCTCTCTCATTGACATTTCTATCTCTCTATCCCTTTTCCTTCCTCTGTCAATAAAATATATTTATAAATAAATAAATAAATAAAAATGTATTTTACTGTTTTTACATGTAGTTCTCAGAAATTTTTTCTAAGGCCAACTTTAGAACACATCACTCTATTTTTGGTTGTCTGGAATGTTAATAAATTCTGTAACATTAAGTTTTTATACAAACAAATAATGTTGTTTTAAAAGCATGCTTCAATAGAAAAACTGACCTTTTGAAATAAAGTTGATTTGGCTTCTATTATCCTTAGTATCAATACAGAAATTATAAGAATCAGGGAAATGTTTCAATGATAGCTTATAATTAAAACTTCTCCAATACATACAAGCATAGACAAACATAGGTGCACACACATGAACATTTAATTTTATATGATCTCCCAATTCACAAATATAATCACATTTGTTTTTTGTATATCTTAGAATATGTGTTTCCTAGTCATTCACTTCCCAACCCCCCAAAATGTATTTCATTAGCGCATGGGTCAGCCTCTTGTCACTAGAGCCAGGGTAAGAGTTGGGAATGTGCCAAAACCGGTTTGGCTCAGTGGTAGAACATTGGTCTGCAGACTGAAAGGTCCCAGGTTTGATTCAGGTCAAGGACATGTACATTGGTTGCTGGCACATCACCAGTAGGGGGTGTGCAAGAGGCAGCTGGTCGATGAGAGTGAAGCTTCTAGCTCTCTATCTCTCTCCCTTCCTCTCTGTAAAAAAATCAATAAAATATATTTTTTTTAAAAAAGAGTTGGGAATGCTCAAAGAAATGTGATTAGTCTTTGGACAAGCCTTTTTAGTAATAAAGTAATGCTACCACTCTTCAAAGATGGCTGCCTTGTCCAGGGACCCATAACTCAATGCCTGTAACTCTTGGTGCCAGGGACTGGGACTGAATTCTAAAGCTAAGTGCTTCTGAAAAGATCAACAAGAAATACTGTACTAGTAATAGGGTGAATTTCCGGACTTGGTTAGAGTTTTAGCCACATAAATCCCATTAGGTTCAAAGCTTTATAATGTTCTACCTTGTCTATGGTTATGCTAATATTTTTATCTACACATTTCTGAGCTCTTTATTAGCCTTTCTAACCTCTCACTTCTTTCCTTCTATTTTTGGTTTTCACATTACCCTTGGAATCTATTTATTTGCCTGGCTTTAGGTAACTAAGATTCTCTCTACTCTTTTTTAAATCCATCCTTGAAAACTATATTTTAAAATAAGTACTTCACAGATCATTTATGATGACTTTATTGCACCTGGTCCATTTTTATACAAAGCTCTACCAAAGTCTGTACCTTTCCTCACCAAAGGCTGCATGCAGTGCACATAGATTGCTTATTGGATCATCATCTTTAGAGTTGATGACAGCTCAGAATCTCTTTGGAAATGTAACTCTCAATAGTGTGCCAGAGCATTGAGCAAAAACATGAAATCATTTCTGAATCTGGGTCAGTCATATTGTAAATACATAAGAGAGAGGATTATAACAGAGCAGATATCACTGAAACTCTGATCTGTCACTCCACTAATCAGGTATGGATGGACACAGGCTAATGGACCTCTTGATGGGCCAGTGCTATTTGTAGACCAGTTCTGATTGATGGCACTACCATGTAAGGAGGGAACAACAGCAGACACCAGGGCAACAACAGGACAAAAATTACACCCCAGTCTCCCATTATACACCTTTTCAAAGCAGGCTTCTTTTGGATTTATAACTATTACAATCCTGTATTAAATCATCCAGTAGAATTTGGGATGCAGGTTTCCAAATGACTCTGCAGAAATAGAGTAGAATAAGATACAGGAAAACAGAGCACAATGAAAGAAATAAAATTGATGGATTTTTCTAGCAATTGTTTACCTTTGTTAATATTATTTGACGAACATTATGACTTAGAAAGTGTAATCAAGTAACCATTTTTGAAATTCATTCATTCAACAAATATTTATTGAGTACCTACTATGTGCTAGGCATTTGCTAGGCCCTTAAGATACAGAAAAGAATGAGACATTTCTTGCTCTCAGATAGCTCACAATATAGTGGCAGAGACAGACATAAACAAGTAACTACAATACAATGAAAAAAGTGCCTGTCAAAGTGTATACAAGGTGCTAGAGGAGCTCAGAAGAAACAGTTTGTAATTAAGCCTGGTGAAAGTGACAACTGAAGACACAGGGAGGGTAGGGAAAGACATTGTATGCTGAAGGGGCAGTAGGCACAAAAACAAGGAAGTGTGATAATGCATGATATGATGGGGATCTACATGTAGTTCCATATGACTGGGATTTCATCTGTGTGTGAAGAAGTGGTGACATATGAAGTCAGAAAGGGAGTATGAAATCAGAGAATGAAGAGCTTTGCATGCAGAACTAAGAAATCTGTACTTTTTTTCTAAAAGTGATGAGAAGTCATTAAAGAATTCAAAATAGGAAGTGACATGACAAGATATGCCCATTAGATCAATATATATGGGGGATGCTTTGTAAGAAAGGTGCGACTAGAGGGAGGAAGACGTGGTAGGAGGGGCTATCACAGCATTCCAGGTGAAAGATGCTCATTTCAAAAGCAATGACGGTGAAGAGGTGACAGATTGGAGAGATACTTAGGAGAAAGCTTGACAAGACTTGATGAATTATAATACAAAAAGCACAACTTCCTCAGAGATGAAACAATATTGAAAACATGCATTCAGAAAATACAACCAACAGCCCCTTCTTTTGTAGTCCCATAATCCTCTGAAATCACAGTATCTGCTGAGTATTAATAAAGGAAGAAAAGCCAGAGGACACATATGGTCAGACTTCTCTAATTCAGACAGCACTAAATTAGAATCTGCAATAATACAGATTGCCTGTGACTCCTATTAAGAATTTCAAACTATTTTCTTCCTCCATATATTTTTAAGCTTTTAGTCAACAGTAACAGGAATTCAATCTAAAAGCAGTAGTTTCTTACAATCAAGCACTTGAGGTATAGTAGGCAGCAGCTTATATGGTGGTATCTGAGGGGTACTCAATATGCGGTGCCAACCCAGGGGCCACAAGGCATAATATACAATCATAATCCATTCCTTTAGGAGAGGCTTTGATCCCTCAGAACTTCTCTTTTACAAGGCAATAATTCCTGAGGTGGATAGAGAATTTAGTCATTCTAAACTCAGTGGAATTCTGGTTGAGGATAATGCCTTTAGATTTTGTAGAAGGGCTCAAGACAATGATGTAAAAGGGAAGATTAAGGAATATAAGATCTCACCAATAAATAGCCCTGCAAGCACTGGAGAAGCTAAGCTTCTTCGTGGTCTTTTTTGTTTGTTTTTGTTAATCCTCACCTGAAGATATATTTTCCATTGATTTTTAGAGAGAGTAGAAGGGGAGAGGAGAGACAGAGTGAAACATTGATGCAAGAGAGACATATTGATAGGTTTCCTTACAACACACCCAGATATAGGCCAGGGATCAAGCCTGCAACTGAGGTATGTGCCTTTGACCAGAATTTACAATAACTCAGGACCCTTCAGTCAATGGACTGACGGTCCAACTACTGAGCAAAACTGGTGAGGTCAAGAAGCTAAGATTCTTAAAGAATGCCTTCCACTTCAGGTTCCACAAACCACACTTGTACATTCAATAGCTCAAGGAACTTTTGTGTATTGTTTATGATATTGGCAAGTCATGGCCTGCAGTGACACAATCTTTTCATGGGCCTCCTGGCCAATTAAAATATCCAGTGTTATTAAATTTGTACATAATATTGCAAATGTATTGTCTGAAACTACTTTATAACTCCAACCTTTCATTCACTCAGACTGACCTTCTCTTTTATCATTCCAAATTATGGAGATATTACTGAATTTGCAGAGTGTTAATCAGTCAAATTACAATTGACAAGAGATCAAAACTCAGATTCTGACCTTGAAGAGTCACATTTATGGTTTGAGAAGGAAAATAAGAGGTGCTTGTGAATACTTTATAGCAGTTAACTAAAAAATAAATAAATAAAAGAACAAAACAAAACTAAAATTACTTACTTCACTAGTTTGGAGAATTGTGAACTTGGGCAGTTTAGTCTTTGAACTGGTCGTACTTGGTTTTCCATCCAAGAGGGATCCAAATGACAGATTCCCAAAACTGTTCTCAAATTCAATAGAAGGTTTCAGTGTTGGAGATATGTCTTGTATCTGGTCCTGGCCATCCATAGGTCTCACATATGCAGTTGGTTTTTGCTGCCCCATGCTTGTTTTGCTGTAAAGCCCTGGTGGGAAGTTTTGAACTGAAAGGCCACTGCTAGGAGCCAATAAAGAGGAGGCGAGTAGGGGAGACCCAGGCACTTGCACTGTAAATTCAGATGCTCCTGGTGAATTAGATTGAAATATTTCTTTAAATGAATCACCTCCACTGGACTTGAGATAACTGCCTTCTTTTGATGATGGGTTTGATTCTTCAAGTGCTCCAACTTGAGGTGGTTCAGCCAGGTAAACAAAGTAGTCTTCCAGTCTAGGTTGGGGCTGATCCTGTGTTGATGGCTGCATCTTGTTTGGCTGACTACTGGTCTGGCTAGCTGGTACAATGCTAGTGTTATGACTATCTCGTGGCCAGTCAGGTTTTGATTTCGTGTTGCTGTGTATTAGAGTTGAATTCAGTATCACAACAGAAGGTGGAGGCATTGGTCCAGAGAGGTGAGTGTTATCCTGGTAAGGTGGGATCATTCGGTTCTTTTGTTCTGAGAAAAAGCTTGGTTCATTTTTGTTGATGGGAGTCTGGGACACAGAATTCTTTGGGATTCCCACTAGATGATTCTGATTAGAATGGCTAGTTAGCAAATCCTTCATTTCATCATAGTTCCCCAGCGTGTTCTGGACTCTGTTGGCAAGTGCATCCCCTTTGTTTGTCTAAAATAACAAAAAGATGGGGGTGGGAGGAGAAAGAATGAATAGGTTTGTGTTTCCTAATGTTAATGTTTCAAACAGATGTTCTAAGTAGACTAACATATAAGGTTCTCTAAAATTTTCATGCTGCTATTCATACTTTTCATGTGCTATATAAGAAAAAAATCAGTAACGATATTGAAATAGTCTCTTGGAATGAGCTGTGTGATTATCATTTGTATATTCCCTGGCCTAACCTTAAAAATGCTTACTGGGAGAAAGTTTTAAATTATGTTACTTATGAATTTTATTAGCAAAATACCTTACTTTAGGTCAGTTGAGCTTAACTGTTACATTCTACATTGTGATCAACAACTTCTACTCACTGATAATTGGAATTATAAAGGAGTATTTTACTTATATTGTTCTTGACATTTCACCCCTTCCCACTACATTATACAATGAAAAAGGCTTAGCCCACTGGATAAGGAAGAAGTCAGTTAAACTAGGTATCCTATCATGGTTACCTTCAGTTTAGAAAAAGCATGGGATTTAACAACATCTAATTGAAGTGACTTATGAGTAAAGTAAATCTGATTCCTTTTCATCAAAGAACTATAAATTACTGGGTCTGCCTACACTTATATATTGGGGAATGGCATTTACATATTGATGATTCATACTCATATACTTTGAAATGGGTGCAACTGTTTATCAACAGTGACTGTCTTCAGTGATTTAGAAAAAAATATTCAAGAACTTAAGCTGTTACTTGAGTAAATCAAAACACAGATTTTTCAAAGTGATGTTGGCAACTGAATACTCTATGGGCAACCAACATACCAGCTATTCATCCCCTGTAGGATACATTAATCTTATTTAAATGGTGTGATTGCTTTTAAAATATTTAAGTTCCTAAGTATTTTTAATATAGAAAGCATAGCCTTCATACCTAAAAATAGTAGAGAGCTATATAGTGGGAAATGACTGATGAAAACTCAGCTTTTCAATTTTAAAAGTGTCTTTTTATTATTCTTTTTACGAAGTAAAGATGTTATCAAAATAATATGTTGCATTCAGAAGGGCAAAGTACGTCTTTGTGCCTAAGCTGTACTATTACGGTCCAAGATGTTGCAATGAAATAAGACTATTGGCACCCATAGTGGAGGCATGTGGCAGCAGGGCCATTGGATGAATGGAGAAGACACTCACCCTATGTAGTGTTTATGTCCCAGGAGCCATAGGTTTGCTCTTCTGCACAGAAGGGTATGATAACCTCCCACTGGTACAACCTCCACTGAATCTAGATGTTTAACATTTAAGATTTTCCACATACCCTTAACACAACCCAGTCTCCTGGCGCACACAGAGAGTGTGCCTATCCAACTTTGGTATCTCATCTAAACCTTAGCTGTATGGTTGTGTGTTATTCTCTGTATGTGAAGATGGAAGAATGTGAAAATGAATGGAAGGTGAAGTGTCAGAAATGAATGAAATCACTCAGGGAAAGAAATGTAGAAAGATAAGATCGATCTCAAGAGCGAGCCCTGGAAAACTTCAACCTTTAAGAGACTGGGAGAAGAGGAGCCAGAAAAAGATACCAAGAAGAAACAACTAGAGAGGGAGTCAAACTGGAAACCTTGGCTTTGTTATTAGCATGATTGCCATATACTGTATTACTGTACATAGTATTCAACTCATACCATATGTTAAATCACAGAAGACACTTTCAAAGAAATAAAGGCAGTTTGGAAAATATGGTTTCAAAGATAAATAAAGAGTATTCTAAATATAGGCTATGAGGAATATGTGGGGATGGGGAATTATATAAAAATATATAACTTTAGGTTTCTTATCCTCCCTAAAAAACATCTTATATTATACATGACATGCAACCTTGGTGCTGAAGTAGTATTTAAATAACATTTCATATAATTCTCAGCTGAAAAATTGCTCCATTTTTCAGAAGTATATTTGAAAGGCATATTTAATAGATAAAGACAAGTAAAAATCACTTTTATTCCCTAAAGGGCCTAAGTTTGTCAATTTTAATGGCAGAAATTACTTTTCAGCTAAGGTAAGGATAAACTCTTTATATACATCTGTCTCCTCTTCAACAGAGTTGCACAATAAGTTATTTGGGGAGCAGCCAGAATGAATTTCTCTATTCAATCCTTAAATTCAGAACAAAAATATTTCATTGCGCTGCTGAGAGCCCCATGAGAATTTGATGCAAGGCATTGTTCTGGCCCCTCAAACTATTTACCTCTTGGGTCAAATGACTGTCTAATGAACTCTAAATCCTATCTTCAAGGATATTACCCAACAAGGAGAAACAGCTATTTAATTTCCATTTTATTTATTTATTTATTAAATATATTTTATTGGTTTGTTTGTTTTTTTTACAGAGAAGAAGAGAGATGGATAGAGAGTTAGAAACATCGATGAGAGAGAATCATCGATCAGCTGCCTCCTGCACACCCCCCACTGGGGATGTGCCCACAACCAAGGTACATGCCCCTGACCAGAATCGAACCCGTACCCTTCAGTCTGCAGGCAGACACTCTATCCACTGAACCAAACCGGTTTCGGCTCATTTCCATTTTAAATGTCTTCATTTTACACTAAAATTATATACCCTATGAGCTTTTTCTTTTTGCCTTAGCTACCAGGAAGCTCAAAGCTTAACTTATTGAATTTTCATTGAAATTTCCTTGACCTTTCATTGAAACAGAGTAATACAGAATCAGAAACTTGTGCCATGATGTCCCCAAAACCACCAGGATCCCTCAAATCCCTAAGAAGTAATTCACTCTCTCTAGGCCAAACACATAAGGAGTCCAGAAATCAAGGCCCATTTTCTGGCAAGCAAGTTAATTACATTCCCGTTCCTGTTTAGCAGTAAATAAAAGGAACAGGTTTATCTTTACCTTAATGGAAAGATAAAGTTAGGTTTTAATATCTCTTCATTTATGCCTATTATTATAATGATTTGAGTTTCTGATGCATGCTTAGATTTAATTTTGTATCTCTAGGTTTTAAAATATGCCTGAAATTAGAAAAAGTCCTACACTTGACAATGGCCAAAACTGTATCTATTGTACTTGAATAATGTTAGAGAAAAATTGAAACTTTGCTAAATACATATAGAAAGTCAACATCTTACTATATAGATTATACTATAGTTATGATCTATTTTCCTGCACAAAAGTATAAGCTTTTAAAAGTCAACAACTACCTTTTATTTAATTTTCTATCTTCAAGACCTAGTAACATGTATGGTACATATTTGATATTCAATAAATTTTATTCTGTTCAATTCATTGTTGATGAATTGAACAGAATAAAATTATAATTTATAATTTTTCAAAGTAAAGGATTTGGAGTAAAAGGTACATAAATAGAAAAAGTAAAAGTGAAGCTAAGTTGGGTACTGTGATTGAACATTAAGTTGAACACCAAGCTTCTTGGTAGCTAAGGCAATAAGGAAAAGCTCATAGTTTATAGAATTCTCTTCATTTGAGGAAAGGAAGAATACCCTAATTCATTAAATGAAATAAATGATTACCAGATACGACAATATGAAAAGAAATTCTCATTGGTTTGATTATAAGAAGCTTTGAACAATAAAATAGTTTTTCAATACTAATTTTACAGAAAATGCAAAGATGTCTTCACATGGCTTTTCCTTATAATAACTAAAAAGCAAGAGAATTGCATTAAAATCTAACTCAGGGAAGGAATGTCTGCATATGGAGTTACATGGTTAGGCTAATAGCTGCAAGTATTGGACTTTCCTGTGCACTACTGACATAGGAATGGAGCAAATCCGAAGGAATGGAGGGATGTAAGCTCCCTTATACTAGCTCCCTCACAGAGGAATTGTCTCAATGGGACTTGTGACTGGAACTGCATAACAGATAGTTCAAGACTGAGTTCACTGGCGATGCTTTCTGTGTTGCTGATTGAAGGAAGATTCAAGCGTTTTTGCATAACAGACATGTGATTACAGACATGGTAATTCTTTTTATATATATATATATATTATTGATTTTGTACAGAGAGAAAGGGAGAGAGAGAGTTAGAAACATCGATGAGAGAGAGTCATCGATCAGCTGCCTCTTGCACACCCCCTACTGGGGATCTGCCTGCAACCAAGGCACATGCCCCTGACCGGAATCAAACCCGGGACCCTTCAGTCCCAAGCCGACGCTCTATCCATTGAGCCAAACCGGTTTCGGCAAGACATGGTAATGCTTAACATGCATAGTGGTAAGTTGAAAATATTCATGAGACACAGGCACAGAGTACACACCGGCACATAGCCTGAGAAGTCCACTATTCAATAATATTCAATAATTAGCAGTAAAGTCTAAGTGGTCAACTCTCTGCCTTCCCACCATCTTAAATTTCTTGTCTCTATAATAGAAAATGCAATGGGGCCTGCAATACATTTATGTACACCTACAAAATGTACTCTCATTATATACTACAGCAACATCTAATTCACACTAAAGGTTATTTTTCACTCTTAGCAATCCTATTAAGGAACAAGTTATTCCAGGCAGCCTTGACTGAACATTATAAAAATGCTCAAAATTAAATCCAGCCATTTTAATCAATTGTAAGCTTCTTTTATTTTTGCCAGTTCTTTATTTCCTGTTCTAGATAATTGGTTGATTCCTTAAAGACAACTTCTACAGCCATTATTTTCTGAGTAATCACAATTTCTCCATCATCAATGAGATGTTTTTTCTAAGTATTTTCAAGCATAAATTACATGTCTGGTTTGTGGCTCATAACTATCAATTCTCCTTCATTTAAGCTTTTTGCTTCTCATTACTTCAGGAAATGCAAAGTTGCCTCGGTTTGCTTCTAAGGCTATCTTCAAATCAGTATCATGATTTCATCGCAGGACTAATGTGCTAGAAGGTAATTGTATCATAGTATTTATTTTTAATTTAAGTAATTATATAACTTAAGTTTTAAGGTTCATTTTTTCTTTTATTTAATTGTAGCTAATG